TGAACCATATAGTCCTGGTCAGATGGACGAAGAAGAAGTTGATCTTGATATACGAACTTCTTCAACATCAGCATCAACAGCTACAGTACCTTCGATATCTGGTTCAATGGGTATTGATACTCCACTTGATAATAGCATAATTTCTTCTAGTAAAAATTCTACCGAGCTTCAACGAAAAATGGAAGAACTAAATAGACAAATCGAAGAGCAGAAACAACAAATACAGAATATTAGTTCATCATTTCTTGGTGAATCAACATCTACTTTGCCGGTGAGAATTTTAACAAGATTTATTTTTTATGAAATCAAATGTTATTGTTTTTCCTTTTATCCTATTGTAAATAAAATTGATTTCGATCTATTCGTGGTATCCTCTTCCTATCCTCGAGCTGTTCAGTTTGTTACTTTTTACGAAAATATTTTAATGAAATTATTTTTATGTTTGATACATATATACATTTTTTTTCTTTTTTTTTATTTATTAATACAAATTTATATATATCTAAAAATATTATATAAAAATATTATATAATAAATATTATATAATATTATTAAATATTATTATATAATATTATTAAATATTATATAATAATACATATATTACATATATATATATATATATATATATATTTTCTTTTCAATTTAATACTATCAATATATTTGATTGAAAATGCATGTTTTTTTAATTATAAATACAATAATAATTATAAATTACAATCTGTATCAGTATATTATTATTATTAATTTATTATTATTATTATTATTAATTTAATATATTATAGGATTGATATTATTTTATAAAAAAAAATATTAACGTATATAATATGAAATAAGTAAAAGTTATTTTGAGTTTCAATTTATTTTTTGATTTTTATTTCAATTTTTTTTCCTTTTTCTTTCAATTAATATTACTAAATCAATTACAAAATATATAATCAATTCAATTAATATTATTAAGTTAAAAACAAGGAAATGAAGAAAAAATTCTAGAAAAAAATTATATTTGATTATAAATAATTGAATGTTATATACATATTACAATGTTATGGATACATACATTTATTTACAAAAAGAAAAATTTAAAAATTCTATTGATTTTTGATATTATTTTTATTAATTTCAGGGTTTAGGGCTGGACCCACCGGCTAGTGATGAGTGTGAAGAAGCTTATAGTCCGTCAGATACAAGATCGTTTACACCACCACCACCGCCCGGTATTTCAAAATTTACTCAACCGATTCTTGACAAAGTTTCAACCATAACAATACCACCAAATTTGCAAGAAATCTTAGCAAATGTTAAACGACAAGAAAGTTCAAAAATAGATCCATATTTACCATCTAAACCCAGTGCCACATTCTTAACTACTGCAAATTCTTCAATATACCAAAATTCAGAAAAATATTCTTCACCGCCTTCTATGAAACTTTCAGTTGGAGGATCAAATAAATCTAATGCTGATAAATCTTCACTTGAACCAGTCTCATCTAGTCATCGAGAATCAATTTCAAAGGAAAAAGAAAGTAAAAGCACTTTAAGTTCCTTAAGTGATTTGGATTTAATCAGAAAAGCAGAAGAAGAATTAGCGGCCGTTGCAGCTGCATCAGCTGTGGTAACATCAGGAACAATGATGACTGAAAATTCTGTTTCGACGACTTTATCTACAACACCAACTGTTCCAACGATTATTTCTTCTCCATCGTTAATGTCATCTGTAAATCTTTCAAATTCGACAACAGATTCTCCCACTCACGAAGGAACTTCTTATAAAAATCCCTTTCCAGAAACTTTTAAACGAAATATAGCTCCTGAACAACCGAAACCTCCAGGTCTCGAAGATGAGGATTTTCCTCCGTTTCCGTCTACACCACCAAGTGTGGAAAACAATGTATCTAAAACAATATCTTCTCGTTCAAAGTTCGTTCCAAAAAGTGGAATTGTGTTAAGCGTTAAAAGAAAAGTTAATGATGATAGTATTGCTTCTTGTACTCCAAACAAGACACAAAGGGTAAAATCAAGATGGGGTCAAGGTCCTTCCGAATCGCTTGATTAGCTGTATTTATAAAAAAGAAAGTTTTTTGCAATGAAAAAAGATTGAGAGTATCACATGGCTTAAAAATCTAATTATTTTTCGCGATATCACTGGAAAAAATGCAACCAAATTGATATAAAAATACGTCATTGCTTTTTTTTATAAGATATAACGATTGGCAATTAACATGGAGAGAGAACAAATTATTGGAAATGTTTTCGTACTAGATAGATAAACTTGATATTTTGTGTTTTGTTATTTGATACGTAAAAATGGATCTGTTTCATGTCGATGTTTGCTCTTATGAATTGTATGTGTGTGCATATGTGTATAAGTGTGTTGCTTGTGTATATGCGTGCGTATAGTATTAAATAAGAAAGAAAAAAATTAAAGAAAATCAAATATCTTTTGTCGAAAATATTTCGGCACGTAAGATTACTTGTAAATACTAAGGCGATGAAAATGAACGCTCGTATCGCTCATTAAGCTCTTCGCTATATGTATATAGTCTTATTGAAAATGCTGTAATATATTGTTTAAATTTACTCGAAAGATTATGTAAAACGGTGCATACATTTCGCGTGCGCTGTCAGTGTATATATATAAGTTAGTTATAAGGATCTACGACCGACCAATATCTTTATTTCAATCAGCACATTTGTATATTTATTTGTGCGGTTGTGATTCATACATCATGCATCTTTCTAACAATTCATAAATATGTATAACATAATATTTTTAGGTTTGTAACGCTTCATTCGGAAAATTAAACATTCATATAACGGTGTAATCGTAGATTCTTTGACGCGCAAATCGTTGTCGCTTAAGATATCATAAAATTCACTATAATAACATGTTTATTTTTCCACTTTGAGATCGATGAAAAGACTAACCAAAAAAACGACGATCTCATCTGTTCTCTTTTTAATATTTGCTTAAGTTTATATGTACGCATTAATCTCTCTGCGTCACATAGTTAACGCATTGATAAACTAGTACTATTATTATTACTATTATTTTTACATTATTCTCTCTATTAAATTTTGTTTATTACCTTTGTTTCATTTTCTTTTCACCGATGCTATTGAGATATAACCATTTTTTATATGTTGCAAGTAATACGAAATCTTATTCAATGATTGAAGATCTGTTATATATTATAATGATGATTATACAAATATGATTATTATATTGCTAAAAATATGCAATTCAAATGAAAACTTATATTGATCAATACACACTTGTACGAACTATGTATGTATCAAAATTCGAAGAAACAAATATCAAAGGGGAATTTTTTTCTCGTGCAATTTTTTCTATTCTTAGATAAAATCTTAATCATTGCACGAATATAACTCTTTTTATAAACAAAATCCTGTGTACCTTTATCTATATTCGTTTTATACAAATCAATTAGCGTTAAACTTAAGTTTTGTACACATTTTTGAATAATGTGACACAATAACAATTCACTATATAATCGCATTACTATCGCTTTCGTAGCATTATTTTTATAATTATTAATGCCATTTTTATTGCTAGAATAATAGTAAGTGAACTTAATTATTATCATTAATTACAGTTATTATCATCATCATCTGTTGTTCATTATAATCATCCAATAATCATAGTTATCATTATAATTACTCAATATTATAAAAATAATATCGAAGATTGACATAATTAATTTTGATTGTAAAAGTATTATATACAAATTTTTTATTTTTTAAATGAAAAAATCGAATATTTTAAATCATTATATGTTTGATTACTGTGAATTTGAAAATAGTATAATTCATTTTGGATTAAATGTTAATGATAATTCATATTGTATTTAAAAGTAAAATTAAAATTTTTTATTTTTTTAGTTCTAAAATTTTCAAACGATTTCATAACGGTTATCGTATTAATTTTTCGATTTCTAAAAGAATTTTTAAAAACGGAAATAATTTTCATACAGTTATAAAAAAAAAAGTTCGGATTACATTGATTTTAGTTTCTACATTAAATATATCGGTTCTACAAAATATTTAGACGTATTTAAATAAAAAATTTTGAGATGATTCTAGATATTAAAATATACATAGAGATAAAAATTGATATTTACAAAAATATTTTTTAAAATTTATTTTTAATTTATAAATAATTTTATTTTATATTAAACGAAAGAAAACGGAGATAAAATATTATTTTGTTTTTGTTAAATCATTTTATATGTTTTATTAATTATATGTTTTATTTATATTTAATTTCTAAAATTTAGAATCATTGCTTAAATTTTATGTCTAATTAATTCAATACTGTATGATGATTTCATAATAATGTATTAATTATAATACACATATTTGTATAGGTTTTGCATTAGACAAATATTAAATCAATAATGTTCATTTAAGTATTAATTAATTTATTAATTGTGAAAATAGTTACTATTTCTTCGATTTTATTATAATTTATTATAATTTAAACATAAAATTAATATATTTTCAACTTAGAGTTACACTTCATATTTATTCATGTTTCTTTATTGCTTTATAACCTTTTTTTTCTGTTTTAGATTCTGTTTTTAAAACTAAATTTGATAGAAATTAAATCGAAAGAATTTATAAATCAATATTGTATCGTTATATAAGCGAACTGATATAATATTGATTATATAGAATCAAAACTGAAATTAAATTATTATAAATGATATAATACTGATTTTTTCTAAAATCAAAATTAAAATTAATCAATATAAATTAGAATTTTTTTCCAAATAATTTTTAAAAATTATTTTGGTTTTTTAAAACTGTTTCAATTTAGAACTTTCAATTTTGACAATAAAACATAATAAACATAATTTTGATTTGAATTCGAACATTTTAATATATTTCAATTGTTATTTTTCATAACGGTAATACCAATCAATTTTTAGTGACTTATAGGAAATTTATTATTATTATTAGACTTTATGCGCATGCTTTCTCTATTACAATATATTTTCATTTAGCCAACTACTTCCGGAAAGAATTGTCCATTTTTCCGTACACGCGCAATGGATGTAGAGCCATTTTGTCCAGAGCAGCAACGTGGCAGCCGGCGTTCCCGGTGTTCTTATTACAATGAATATCCGTAAGTATGTTGAAGTATGTTGAAAATAATATATTATTTTCAAACGTTTTTTGTATAAAATATAAATTTAAATATAAAATTAGATACAAATATTTGTAGATATATTCTTAAATATATAATATTTATATATTTAAATATTCGTTCTTCACATTTTAATTACATTTGACTACACTCCTAATCTTTTTTAATCTCAATTTATTATATTTTATTTTTATCATTTTAAATTTAATGATTATTTTAATAATTACTTTATTAAATATCTATATATCTTATATTTTTAAGTTCTTAATATTCTTAAGTTCATTAGTAATTTTTATCTGATTTAAATAGATAATATGTGTATATTATTTGTATTCTTATTTCAAATTACTATTTTCACAAATTTTAATATTTTACTTATTATAATTTTAATATATCATTATTATAATATTTCATTATAATTTCTTATAAGATATCATAAATAAAAAGAATAGAGTTCAAGTTAATATTTGATGTTTCATTTTTTTTTCAGTTGTATCATTACTAGTCACAATTATCGGTATAACAACTTGTTTTTCGACCGAAATATTACAATCTACAAATTCCTACTTAACTACAGCTGATAGAATTCATCTAAAAAAAGTACTTGAACCAGGTTTAACATCAAATGATATTACATTTATGTATTATGCAATTCATGGATATACATTTCTTGGTGAAGTTTTATCAAACAAACAAGTAAGAAAAATTTTAATATTTTGTTTGTTTATTTAAAAATATTATTTATCAATATATAAATGATGAAATATTGCCATAATTGAAATATAATGATATCTTGATTAGTCTTACTGATTTAATCATTTACTTACTTATTGTGATATTTTAAAAATCTTTTTGCATTTTGACAAGATTTATATGATTTTTAGGATATTTGTAACTTTATGATAAAAGTTATAAAAGATGAAAATAACATTACAATTGAAAAAGCTTTTCACATTGCATCTATATGGCAAACAATGGGAAATTGTCAAGCATATTCATTATCTAATATTATAAAGGTTTGTATTTCTATAAGATTAATTCATAAAATAATAAATTTTTAAATATAATGATGCTTCAAGACTTTCGTTCTGCTAGATTTCTATATTGAAGAATAATTTTATTTACTGAATAAAAATATTATTATATATATATATATATATTAATAAAATTTTTGTTATTAGAGATTAAGGGAAATTATTTTATTTAAATAGGTATTTACAAATACAATAGAGAAAGAAACTTCAAGTATGATGGAAATATATTATGCAGTAAATGGTCTGAATATTTTATTGGAAAAATTGTCACGTGATAAAATTGACAATATAATAAAAACAGTACAAAATATGCTACGAAAGGATGACAACTTATGGAAGTACGACTACTCTGCTAATATTTTAATCTTATAATTTATTTAATTTTTATTAAAAGTTACAAGATTTGAAAAATATTTTTTTGATTCTAATTTTTCTTGATTGAACATTCTACGAGCAGCTTGGGTTATGCATTTCACATTGCTTCGGATTTTGGAACAAGTGGTATGTTTGCTTTTGATCGCATTGAAGATGCCATTATTCAAGCTGATGAAGTAGATGGCCAATATTTACAATTTGAAGGTGGTCTTTCAGTAACTAGTAAGTATTAAATATTTTAGTTAAAATTACAATAGAATATCAAAGTTAAATTTTGTTTTGAAAGACCAAATTATTAATTTTTTTTTGCGTTTTTTTGTAATATTTGACAAATACTATTTAAGAATATAATAAAGAATATAATAGTTTTAATATCAGTTTAATATCAGAAAATCTTTGCAATAAATTTATCAATCATCAAAATTATCATCAAATTTATCAAATTTAATATATTCCAATTTGATTTAGACCTAACTGTAGAATGTATTATTTACTGTAAAGTAACTAGCATTAATTAGGAATATAGCTAAATGCTAAAAATCCTCAAGCATTATATTCACTACGAAAAATATATTATATTATATTAAATATATAAGTAATTAATTGATAATGTTTTATTATATAATATTATATAATTTTATTATATAAATAAACATATATTTAAGGATATTATATTAGTGTTATGTATATAGTTTATGTTAAGTATATGGTTTCTTATTACAAAATAAAAAAATTTATATTAATTATATGCAAAAAGTATATTGACAAAAACTAAATTATATAAAAAAAATATGAATGATAAATTTTATCGAAATAATATAGTATGAATTTTGATATCTGCAATTTATAACTTATAATTTCTTGAGGCTTTTTGGTATATTTTCTATTAATTTATTAATTACATTTTGATTGATTTCAGACTACAATTTCTTTAATAATTTTAAAACAGTAATGTATTATATTTTATGTTTAGCTACATTATATTTTTTGTTTAAATAAATACTTCAATCAAATCGGAATTTTATATTAGCTATTATAATAAATTGATTTTCTTTAAAAAATTTGATACATATTTGATATATATTTTACATGACTAATATTTTGTTGTAAAATAAAAAGTTCTACATTTTAATTTTTTTAATTCTATTAAATTCTACAGTGTAATATTATGTATGTGTAATATTTATAAATATTCCTTTTGTAAATTACATATACAAATCAATTGTCTTGTTAATTAGATATACAAATCACTAACTAAAGTAATATTATATGAATATTAAATCATTTTTGTGATTGAAATAGTTGAATAGTTCTGTGATTGAGTAGTTGAAATAATTATAAAAATCTTAAAATTTTCATTAGATAAAACATTTTCTTTTATTTATAAATTGTTTATCAAATGCTAAACGATTATGAATATTACACTTATTATGAACAATGTCTTTTTTGATAATTGATCATGAAATCTTTTTTTTATTTGCATTTCTTAAATAAAAATATATGATTCAAATTTTAATTTTTTTTATGAAATGATTTTTTAATTTAGTTTTTAAAAATTGTTGATATTTGAAAATAATATTATTTTTTAAATTTTATTGTTTTGTAAATATTATATATGTATGAATAGAGAAATAAATAGAAAAAGCATTATAAAATACAAAAAAATATCATAAAGATATATTTAAAACTATTTCTTTTTTAAAGAAATAACAAGAAAATATGATTAAAAATATTTGTTAATTTATCTCTATATTATATATATGCGTAATTTATCAATATTTATCAATATACATTTTAATTCTTTATTAAAACAAACTTTAAGTATGCATATTATTTCAAGAAATGATAAAGAAACATTCTAAATGCATATAGTATTTTAACAAAAAATAATTAGAAAAATTTGAAATCAATATATTTTTTACGGCGAGTGTAAAAATTATTTCTACTTTCAATTAATTTTTAAGTTAAACTTAATTTCATTTAAAAAATTTTTTTTTCTCTTTTATAAAAAAGAAAATTTTTTTAATTAAGTGTACCTTTTTTTTTTTAGGTTTCTTGGTGAATGGCATTTTTAAACTTTCCAATACATTAAAAAAAAAGCCACCACTAACACTTCAGCAAATAGTGAAAATGGCTAATTATCTTTTATCACGACGTTCTGTACAAACACCAAAAGGTGTTACAAATTTACTTTCAGCATTAACAACTTTAGCAAACAATGATTTTGAAAAACCAGTTTGTGTAACATTAGCCAATGAAGAAATTAGCATTTCTATTCAACAACCCTTGGTTACAATAAGAGTTTGTGATATATTAGGTAATCCATTAACTAACACGTTTAAAGTAATTGCAAATTCTGCAACTAGAATCGGAGATAATGTTGTTATATTCAATAAACAAAGTTTGCAGTCTTCTACAACAGATAAGTAAGTGTTAATCTTCTTGTTTTTCCCCAATACTTTACCGATTCAGTTGAATTTTTTTCGAAATCGGTTATACCTTGGGGTAAAGTATTCGTTGAATAATCTTTTAATCTTTCGTTAGAATTGGAAAAGATTAAGAAGTTCAACAAACAATTTATATAAATATATATATATATATATATTTATGCAGAATATCCCAAGAATGAAACATCTATAAATTGGAGATTCTTGAGATAATTTCAAGCAATATTTTCCTTTGCAAAAATTTCATTCCAATTTTGTTAACGAGTTATTAACAAAAAACACTCATTAATCATGAAGCATATAACCTAGTCATGCATTAAACAATAGCATTAGCCATGTATCACTAACTGAATACGAACAAGTCTAAACAACATATCGAAAATGTGTTGAATATTATATTTATTTATTATTATATATTATTATTATATATTATTATTATATATTATTATTATATATTATTATTATATATTTATTCATTATTCATGATATAATTCGATCTAATTTTTTATCAATAAAAAAATATTTTATTATATTCAACACATTTTCTTCGAGATATGTTGACAAAACATGTCAACGTTATTGTAGTAGTTCGATTAGGCTATATGCTCCATGGTTGGTCAGTGTTTTTAATAATTCATTAACAAAACCATAACAAAAGTTTTTGTAAAGAAAAATATTACTTGAAATTACTTCAGGAATCTTAACGAATGTTTCCATTTTTTTTGGGACATTCTATGTATACATTACAAAAAATTTTAACGTATTTATTAAATTTTAGAACATTATTTACTATGAATTTTATGGAAATGAAACCAGAACGTGGATTTTATAAAATATCAGTCACAGCTGGATCAGTAACCAATACCGTTATAGTGAAAGTTCTTTGCGACGTAATTGTCGATTATATGGAGATTGGTACTGCCGATGCTGATCAAACTACTCAACCAAAACTTACACGGTAATTTAATAAAAATTTTAATAATAGATGTAAATATGAATTATTCTATATAAAATCCATATAAAATGTATATATGATAAATATAATATTTAATTTGATGCTGTTTATAGAATACTTTTCCCTGAAAAGTTGTCACAAAAGATTGAAGCTGATTCTCAACAAAAATTAGTTATGAGATTTTTATTAAGAGATAATGCTAATAAAAAACCTATGCGTACACATCAAGCATTTGTACGACTTTCTTCCATATCTATTTCAAAAAATGATAAAAAAGGACATGAAATTCTTTTTGTTGCTGAAGCAGATACATCACATCTTTATAAATTTGATATGGTATCTATAATATTTTTTAAAATAATTGTAACAAAATTTCTTGAAATTATTTAAATTATCATTGTTACTCTATTTGAAACATTTTAGCCTGTAGGAACTGCAGCAGCAAATTTCAATTATCAAAGCAGAGATTATAATGTAGAATTAATTATTGGTGATGCAATATTAAATAATCCTTTCCAATGGACAGTGGCAACAGTTAGTTTGAAATTTCCTGAACCATCTTCGTCTGAACGAACAGATAAAAATGTATTTTACAACTCTAAGTCTAATGTTTATTCGACAAAACCAGAAATAAAGGTATAAATTTTGTTTTATTATTATGTATTCAAATAATGTTTTTCTCGTTTTATATATTACTAATTAATATAAACCAATGCTCGTTAGTGATAGCAATCTTTTTTTCTGATTCTATTGCCTCCTTAACATTGGAAAAATATTATTGCCGTCAGATATATTTTTCTGTTTTTCTAAATAAGATAATATTTAGAATGATTACAAACGTTTAAATATTTACATTTAAACGTTACATTTAAACATTTTGACGGACATTCTTTTAAACTTAATATTTTTATAAATAATATAAATTATTTTAAATAAATATAAATTTAAAAAAATATTTATATGTTGTAGCATATGTTTCGCGAACCCGAGAAGAGACCTCCTGCCTTTGTTTCAAATTTATTTACCGGTTTATGCTTAGCACCGGTTCTTTTGTTATTTATTTTATGGGCTAAACTTGGAGTGAATATATCAAATTTTCCATTTTCGCTTAGTGCGGTTATATTTCATCTGGGACTGGGAAGTAAGTATTTTATATTTAATAAAATCTATTTTATATTTAATAAAATAGATTCTTGTATAATGGAACGAAAAAAATGTCATAAGTTTATATAACGCGATAAATTTATAATGTATTAAATATAAAATAAGTTAGATAAATTTCAATATTTTAATATATTTATATTTATATTTTAATATTATTAATTTTATTTATTTAGAATATAAAAATATGTAAAGGTATTCAATATATAAATGGTGCACGATTTATGAAACATTTCCGATAATGCAACAAAAAAATATTTCAAATAAAATTTGATTTATTTTTAATTAATTACAAATTATAATATTTAAAATCTTCAAAAATTCTTCTTTTTATAAAAAATTAAAATTACTACTAAAATTAAAATTATCGTATAAGGAAGATTAAATCGAATATTTACATTTAATATTTATGTTTATTGATGCTATCTATAAATAAGTTAATAATATCTCTTTTAATATAATATATCTGACCGTATAGATTCATTGTTTGAAGAGTTTGTACATACATGTTATAACATGTGATTTATATTATGCAAAATGTAATTCTCTAGAGATTTATATTAGATTAGATATATCAGATTAGAGATTTACTATATAGTATATATAATTAAAATATGCCCAATGTTTGACAAATAATCATGTTTGATTAATTTGTTGTATTTCGGGCATAAAAAAATGTGAAATTTTCGCAACTGTAATTATTATATTGCAGTTGTAGCCCATACTTCACAACAATGTTAACATTTATTTACATCCTCTTGAATGATATAATTATGTATATTCTATCATTTTTCAATAATTCTTAATTTGTTTTTCAGGTATTTTCACACTTTTTGGAATATTTTGGTTAAAACTGAACATGTTTGTTACTCTTCGTTATCTCGTCGGCCTTGGTATTGTCACATTTCTCGCAGGCAATAAAATGTTATCTCGAATAGCGCATAAACATAAGTCACGTTAATTCATTAGAGCATAATATTTTTATAATCACTTGTGAAAATTAATTTATTCAGCAAAAAGAATAAATCTGAGAAAAGCATAAAGACTGGCCTTGCTGGAATGAATGAATCGTTGAAAGAGACAAATAAATTTGAATTGTCACTTATGTTTCATGTTTTTATGAAATGATATTTATTGTATCTATAGTAGTGTAATTTTCGGTTAATACAAGAAATAGCAATACTATTTTTCATTAAATGTGAAACAGATTAAAATTGCAATTATAATAATAATATATAATAAGTCTATAATTTTTATACATTTTATTTGTTAAGATTGAAATATATTTAAACATATGTTATAATTATAATTTTCGTTACAGACATGCATAAGAAATTTAAAATTTTCTGATATTTCTACTTTTTGCTTTATTCCATATATAAAAATGGTTATGATCGATGATATCCACTTGTACTAATAATAAATCAATTTTTAATAAGATTTTTTTGTATTGATTTATTGACTTACACATATTGAATTATGTTGAATTTGTTTGATCAGCAAGATAGTCTTTCACTAATTTTCGTAGATCATTTGCTTGCATCAATAATTTATCTTTTTGAGTTTGAAGTTCTGCAGTAATTAATTGTGCAAAACCTAATCGACGCCAAAAATTAATCGTTTGTTCAAAATCTTTCGTAATCTAAAAATAAAATAAAGATTTCAATTTTGATAGCATAATAATAATCTGTGTTTTTCTTTTCTATATACAATGGAATGAACATTTTTAAAATTCTTTATATAATAAAGAAATAAATAGCACTTAAATATAATAGATAATTTTTATATGAATACTTTCTTAAAAAATTATAAGAAAAATATTTCGTAAATAATAATTTTTTCTAAAATAAGATTTAAAAAATTTTTCAGAAATTGTAAAAATATTGCAGAGATTTATGATTTACGATGTATATAATTTAAATATAATATAGAACAGATATTCGAAAATTTAAGCGAATCATTTTTGTAGTACATAATAGATTTGATAACTTGAAAGATTCAAAATTCCCTTTATATATCAATGTATTTATGTATAAATTATAATATTATATATATATAAAATATATAATGTAATTCTTAAGTAGTAATATAATTTTCAGCATATTTAGTTGAATTATTTTCATCAATTCTTATATATTATAATAAATAAAATATTTATACAAAATGAGCATTCGCATTATTATATTATATTTTTTTTCTATTTCATTTCTATTTGATATTTTTCATTCAATAGTTGATATCATTCTTAATTAAAGTGACGAATTCCAATTTCTAAAATATTTCTATAGATAATTATAGATAACTATAGATAACTATACATATCGCATTGTTCAAGATCGGTCTGTAACGTTGGAATTATATTAGTAAAAAATTTAAAAATATTACATTTGTCGCGTCTAGCGATGAAACGAATAGATATGTTTTGTGTGGTCATTTCTAGTCATTGTCTTGTGTGCATTACTGTGTTATATATTTATATAATATATATATTATATATGTTATATATTATATAGAAAAATAAATATATAAAAATATAAATATAGAAAAGGACAGCAAGAGAAAGAAAGAAAGTTAGAAAAGAGATTAGGAGATAAAATATATAATTCATTGTATCATTGCAATCTCTTTTTTTCTCCATGATAGAGAAGGAGGTACATCGTAAATCGTTTTAGAAATATATTGAAGATAAATTGCAATTTTCAAGAAAATAGATTAAAGTATAAAAAATTTGTATAAAAAAAATTTTAAAAAGTGAAACAAAATCAATCCTATAGATGTGACTCGTATCTATTTTTTTAAAAAATATGAAAAGAATTGAATTCTAACCGTTTGAATTGGAATAATATCATTATCCTCGGTTAGTGATAATTGCATAGGATGACTATTCATTATTGGAAGAATTTTTTCATCTTGTGTTTCATATTTTCGACACATTTGCATATAAGCGAGTATGTGTTCAGCTTTGACCATCAAAACTTTCATATGTTTTACACTATGATTATATTCCTTACACATTGTCATCGTTCTATGTTTATCTTTTTTATGACCTGATCAATTAAGATTACAGTTAATTTAATCGGTTAATAATAAATATATATATATATATATATATATATATATATATATATATAAATGTATACCAAGAATAAAACGTTCGTTCGTTTCTCGGTAGATATTATGAAAAAAATTTGATTCTCGTAAAATTTCTTCTAATTCATTTCCAGATTCTCTTCCATGAAATTTAATTTTATTACGATATTTCACGATCTCATCAAGAAGATTCGCGATACGAAGATATTGTTTAGTTATTATTTGTTGATCAATATGATCCTTATTCTTGATTATCTCGTAATCTTTTCGCCGCATTTCTGTATCTATTATAATGAAATATAAAACAGAAAAGATTATAAAAAATATTCACAAATCATTATTTTACAAATCATTTTTAGTTATTAATTGGTATTTATATACTTTTGCGATAATCAGAATAAACATTTCGCAAGTTGTTCCAAAGATTTTCAAGTTTCCTTTGAAGTAACGTTATAGTTGTTCTTTTTTCGTTATCTCCATCTTCCACAAATGCATCAATTCTACCTTTGAAGTGAAAAAGTATAAAATTTATATTTTAAAATTCTTAACAAAAAATAATGATATTCTTATTTTTAATAAAGAGAGAAAATTATATAAAAATATTAAGACAAATATGATTATATAATCGTGAAAAAGTATTTATAGATAATATCTTAATATATTATCTAATAATAACTTACTTACTAAACGCAGTACTTCTTGCGATATTTGCGGTATTTTCTCCTCGTTGATTTACAAATAAATTAATTTTTCGTAAAATAGTTTCTTTCTGATTTCGATGATAATTAATATTTTCGAAGGTAAAGACTTTATCAGCTAATGCTGTTTTAATTTTTTGATGGAAAAAGTTATCAATATCTGCTAGTCGAGCTTCATGTGCTTCCAAAGATCGATTGAATATTTCTATATGAGCACTATTTGCTCTACGACGTTGATCTTCGGCATCTTGTAGACTATCCAGTAATAAACTGATGCTATACGAATGTAGGAAATTTCCATCATATATGTATGTATTTTAGTTGATCATTTATTATTTTGTTGTACCTGTAGTCCTTGAGATCGAAAACATGTTCCAAAGTCTGCCAAATTATGTCAATCTTTTTGTAGATATCGGGCATTTTTATACGTGTAAGCATTTCTCTCCAGAAACTTTGATAACGTTTCGTGTTCAAAGTACTAAGCTTAAGTTCATGAGAGAATGCTTCTTTTTTCAATTCTTGCACAGTACGTAGTGGTTTACGTGCTCTTCTAGTTCGTTTCCGTTTAGGGCCCATTTTATGTCAATCTCTGATAAAATTATTTTCACAAATTTTTTTTTCCTTTTTTTGTTTTTTCTTTAATTATTTTTTTCAAGCGATTATTTTTTTCGATTTGATTGATATTCATGCGAAATGAATTTAAATGAATATTTTTCGATTAATCGAGAATATTGATTTCGATATTATCAGCTTTTTCATATATTCATTATAAGAAATCTGAAGTGGAATAATATGTATAAAAACAATTATCAAATTATTATAAATATAATAATAATTATTAATAGATATTATTAATAGATATTAATAGATAATTAATATTGAAATTATTATATATATAAAATATGGAAATGAAATATGATTGAATTCTTTCAATTTTTTTTTCTAAGCTTTAATATTTTTAGTAATTTTATTAATATTTTTTATATGATTATGGTTTGTAAAAATGTTGTATTACTTAACACTTTTTTTTCTTTCGTGATTTGTCTTTAAAATTAGTAGAATTCTCAAGGTTCTAAAATTAGAGAAACTGTTGTTTAGTGAAAGTACGTATGATCGGCATAAAGTTCTATTCTTTCTGGAATTTTCGACGAATATTTTATTTTACATCATATAAATACGTATATTATATAATGATAACAAATTCAAAGTTTTCATCTAATTTATGACAAAATGAATCACAATATGGTGTGATACGATATTGAATATAAATTCAAGGAGAAATATTCAGAAATTTTAATCAATTAAGATGAATTCAATAACCTAAGATTAAAAGAAGGGATATGCCAAAGTAAAAAATGACTTTTGAATTCAGAAAGAGATTTGTGAATTCCGGTTTTAAAACTAGGAACAGATGTTAGCAATATGGAAGGGATAAAATCTCGATTTCTCATATATAAAAGTCATTCAGTCTGAAGCATCCGAATATTTTGTTCAAACGAATATATCAATTTCAACGAGGTTAATGTTTTTTCTTATATTTATTTTAAATTTTTTAAAATTTCTTTTTATTCATAATAATTTGTTAAAATTTGATTAATCAGTCTCGTTATATTTTTCTCTTTTTCATTGTATTATAATTTTCTTTATTATTTTTTTTTTTTTTTAATTTTTTTCATTCTTTCTTTTTTTCTTCTTTCTATTTTCCTTTTAAAAATCGTATATAAAATTTAAATTTCTTTGATTTTTAGATGAAATCGTATTTTTTTATATTGATAATATTGTTGCTTGTTAATTGTATCCATACCTTATCTGTGTATGGAGAAAATCGTGCTTCAGTTATAAGCAACAACAAAATTGAGAAAGAAAAAATAGTTCGTGTTAAGAGATCTCCTTTAATTAAATTACCTTTGCTCGTTGGAGCAACTATAATTGGTAAAAAATCATTATTATTGGGTGGTACTATTCTTGGAGCTAAGGCTCTCGGCGTTGGACTTGTAGGAGTTGGTTTGTATAAAGCTAAATAGTGAGTATATTTTTTGAGATTCAAATTTAATTTTAATATTTTTATTATCAATTTATTTATTGTAACATTTAATACAATAATTTTAACGATTAATCTTCAATATGTATCAGTTATGGCGGTGGCTATGGAGCTAAATATGCGAGCTATCAATATGCACCACTTACTTATATTGAATCAAATTGGGACTAATTCATGAATGGTGATATAATATTAATAAATAATAATAAATAAGGATAAATAAAAGAATAATTCAAGAAATAAATTTATTTTTTTTACATTTTGATGCATAAACATGATAAATAGAATCAAACTGCAGAAGAAAGTGTAATTAAAACTTGTTTCATGTTTTGAAATAAATAATATATTATTATGTATTAATTTGAATAATTTGTTTTTTAATTGTATGATTTTTTTTAGAAAATTTTACAATTATTTCATTATAAGTAAATATATATATGAATACATTTTTGTTTGTATAAAAATAAAAAAATGATGTTTTTTTGCTAATTCTGAAATGTAAATATATTATTTCATGCATGTTATCTCATATTTTTTTTTTTTAAATTAAGTTTATGACAATTAAGTTTCATATATGGTAATTAATTTCAATATATTGATGTAATAAAAATTCTGTTTGAAAATTATTTAAATATGACAGGAATCAATTGAGCAAGCAATTCATATTCCAAACTAAAGCACGTAGTTGAAAATGTTGCGAGATTGATTTCTATCAACGAATACCTAATGATTCGAAACATTGTAAAAGTAAACGCATTCTTATTCGTATTTTCTCTTACTTTTGTAACCTTTCTCTTTTATGATCTGTATTCTCAATTCTTGCCACGCATCATTCGTTACTTAATGCACACGTTTGATTCATTGAATGGATTGAAAATATAAGTAAATCGAAAATGGTAGAGCTGAATTCATTAGTATTCAACGATTGTTCGTTAAACTTGCGACACTTGTGTTATAGGTGCGATATAATATTACATGTTAACGAATGTAATATATTTCGTAAATGAATCTATTTTGTTTCCGTTGTCTCTATTATTATATATTATTTCAATTTCTTTTCCTTTCTTTCTTCTCTTTTTCTTTCTTTTCATTAAATTATATTTTTATGATATATCACATAATAAAATCTGATATCATATTTTTTTAATTTTTCAGTTTTTTAATTTTCCATTGCAATTTTAAATTTTGTGCAATTATGAAAAATTATAATTTTTTTTTAAAAGTACAATTTATTCTTCTTATTTTTTTTAAATTATATACAAATATATATATATATATATATATATATATATATATATAATTTTTTGCAAATAACTAGATAGTCTAGATATCATAAGAAAAAAATATATAAACAAATTCTTGATGAAAAATAATATAATAGATAACAGATTTATGAGATTTTGATTTATAATCTCTTCTATAATTCTACATGAATTATAATATCTATTAGATATAATTAGTTAGGATAGAAATGTTTTTAATTAATTATACAAGTTTTAGTTTGTTTAATATAAATAGAATAATAATACAATATTACAATCAAATTATTTTAATACAACAAAATTTGTATCTTTTTTTTGAATGCTTAGTAAATAGAATACATTAAACATATAAGCAAAAGTCTCCTGTTTAATTTAGTATAATATGTTTAAATTTATATTTGGTTATTGTAATTAAATAATATGTAATAAAATATAAGTAAATGGTTCATTTAACAAATATTTAATTTTGAAAACAGTTTGAAAGATTTCAAATAATTTGAAATTATTTTTAAATTTTTGTTACATTAAAATTTTTTTTTTATTTATTAAATAATCATTTCATTATTTTTTTTCTAAATAAATTATTTATAAATTCTGAATTTTTCTAAATAAAAATGAAGTATATAATTATGAAACAAAAAAGAAATTTATTGCATTTACTATTTTACAATAAATTAATATTTTTATTTTGTTATTATGTTATGTTATTAAATTCCGATAATAAATTATTATTTTATTTTTTTATTCATCATTTTTTATAATATAGAAATTTAATATATTTGTAGCACTTATTATATACTTATTACATAACTTTTTATTATATACACATAATAAGAATTTTATTTTATTATCTTTTGATTTACTACTGATTTAAGCATTTTTTATAATACAAATTACATCGTTCCATTGAGTAATATTTTTAGTAAATATTTTTTATATTTTGAAAAAAATTATTGAAATGACTATATATAAATAGAGTTTTATGTAAAGAATTAGTAATTTAATTATGTATATATATATTTATATGTATATATATATATATATATATTTATGTATATATATATTAAGATTCCTAATTTTTAGAAAATTAATGAATTACTCAATAACTAAAAAGAAACATGATAACTGAGTCTAGTTGTGTTGCAAATGTTCATTGTGAAAATGGATCACAATGTTTAAGTAGGGATTCGATACGAATTTGATCACTCGAATAAGTGGGAGAATTTGCTGCTTCGAAGGTAGGCAACTGTGTATAAAATCAAGGGAAGGTATCGAAAATGTGACATACGAGTTGTCACTCTCTATGTGTTTAAAATTATTCCTAGATCTTTGATACGAAACACGGTAAGAGAATGTAAATAATTATATATAATAATCAATGTATTTAATTATTTTATTTTTAAAATATTTTAATAATTGCAATTTTGTTTATGATAGATGCAATTAATTACTATTACAATTTTTGTTGTTTTTTGTTGTTACGTTATGCCATGTACAGTGGCAAAAGAAGACATTTTATCATCGGAAGAGAATCATTTTTCGAATTTTGATCGATCTGTTATTCAACCAGAAAATGAACAATATTCAGGTGCTATATTAAATAGGCAAAAGAGAACACTTTTTCTAAAAAAAAAGCTTATCGGTGCGGGACTTTTGGGTTTTGGATTAGGTGTTGCAAAAGGGTAAAAAATTTATATCTACACGACGAATTTATTTTTTTTTTATTTTTATTTACAATTTCTTTCAAATTTATCTACATAAATTGATTAATTTTATAATTTTTAGATACAAGATTGGTTATAAGACTGCTCCAGAAGTTCATCATGTATATTTGTCCCCTCCTCCAGCATCCGTGAAATATGTAGAATACGTTGATAAACCTATTTTTATTGAAAGAATAATTGAAAGGCCTGTTTTTAAACCGGTACATGTTGAATATAAGGATGCTTCTTCTTATGGGTAAATTATTATTTATTGCTATTTCTTTATTATTTAGTATGCATTATATAATTTAGTATGCATAAAATTCTTTCATCATTTCTTTCATATATTCTTTTCAGGCCTTGGTAATATTAAAAATCATCAATTGAAGAAAATCACAAAAACAAATGGAAAATAATAATTGAATTATCCATTATAGAGTAGCAAAAAAAAAATTATAAAAATTTAAAAGATAACACGTATACTTATATACATATGTGTATTTATATATATATATATATATATATGATATATATGTATATAATTTATACATATTATATATTAAATATATATTTATGTTTAACTTTCTATTGAGATTTATTTTTATATATACATATGCGCCTATATATTTATCCATATATTCAGAATTCATTATATGATACAATAGAATAAGATACAATATATATAGTACATTATCACTTTGTAAAATGATTTAAATAAATATAATTGAATATTGTATCTTTTTACCAAAAATTATATTATTAAAAAAATTATTAGTATTAAATAAAAAAAAAGTGAATGTAAAAATATCTTATTTTTTTGTTTAATCAATAAAATTTTATTTCCCAATTATATACTGTTACATAATAAAAATAACAGTATTTTCACGTTTTAGATAATAATTTATCATACTATTCTTATTGTTAATCGCATCGTTATGGGGAAGAGATCACAAATTTGTCAAATGACATTTAACAAGTGTAATGTTAAATAAATGTTTGTGCTTTTACATCTCTTTATCAATCACAATTCTTTTCTGCATTATTATATATTTATGTATTATAAGCGATACAATGTGAAAAATTTATTGAAAATATTCTGTAAATTTTTCACTTATAAACACTTACAATATTATAAATTGTTCATCTATACATTATGTGCGTCATGTACACATGTATCTAACATACAGATTATTTCACAATCACATTAAACATACATTCATACATGCTCTTTTCTCTTACTTATACAGTTACTTATGCAGTATATAAAAACACAAAAGGATATAATTTATATGGCGCATTAAGCGTCATTCATTGTATTAATAAATATATTTATCATTAATTTTGAAATATATATATACAGTTGAAGAATTCTCTTAATTAATCTTTACGGTGTATTTTATGAATTATACGATAGATACTGGAAAGAGAAAAAAAATGAAAAAAAAGAGAGAGAGACAGAGTATTTACGTTTCTATATTATAAGTTTTCCAGTTATTATTGTCACGATTCGGAGATGATTGTATACATTTATAAGAAAGGTAACATTTTTTTTTCTCTCTTGGTGAAAACATAATAATATGAATACATGATAGTATATCATGATATTTCAGCAAAATTTTATGAACAATTTTAATGATATAATTATTTGATTTATTGTGCATTTTATGCACAACAACAATAAAATATTATTTGATTTTAAGTTATGAAATAAATGAAGAAATATGAATCAGAAAAAGTATGGAAATAGAATATTGCACACATATATCAATATAATATATTTACATAATACGAGAGCTGCATATGCATAGAATGCGTCTATGTAATAGAGATTGTCATTCGCGATAATAGGTATAAAGTTTTCTCTATATCTTTCGCGATTATTATATTATAATCAAATATCAATCGATTTATGATAATATTATATGGATGAAAGAGATAATGATAAATACACAAGTAATAATTTATAAATTTAATATCATTAATATAATATGTCTAATGATTCGTATGGATACGTGACGATTGTCATTTTTTGAATTTTAATAGTAAATGCTTATGACAGACATTTTTATCGCTTAAAAATGTAATATTTTTCAACGGAGCGTTAATGATTCTACAGAGAGAGAAACAGATGCTGCCTGTCTATAGTGTTGAAGAACAGGGGTTGGAGTAGACGGTACTTCTTCGATACGTTCCAAATCATTTGCTGCACCCGCACTATTTTGTTTATAAAGTTTTGGTGTCATATTCAAATTTTGTTGTGATAATAATTGTTGTTGTTGCTGTTGCTGTTGTTGTAATTGTTGTTGATAATTAATTTGCTCGGTGAAACCAACATAAACAGTTTCATCGGGACGATCTAGACTAAATTGTCTTTTTAAAAAACGAGAACCTATACTTCTTCCTATAAAGAAAAAATAGATCAAATGAATAATTAATTAAATTCATAACTTAAAAATTAAGATTTTATTAGATTTTATTAGAATGTATGAAAAATATCAAGACTTGCCATAATGTTCGTTTGGTGAGAGACATCTGTAATGATTATATGGCGTGCTTAAGTCGTTTTCATCGATATAACCAGTTATTCTCCGATGTTTTGCGGGACCTGCTGGTCTATATGGATTAGTTGAGCTTGAAATTGATGTAAGGGAACTAGTAGATGCACCAAGTACAGTTTTTTCTGTATAAAATATGGATGTTGCCAGAGAAGTTTGAGTGTCACTGGAAGTAGTTTTGGTTACAATAGTCAAATTAGTATCATCATTTTCTCTTCCATTCATTTTTTCTTTCGTAGATAAAATGTGGAGAATATTAGCTGTTGATTTTAAAGACGAGTTCGTATCTTGAACTTGTTCATCATGTACAGAAACTGCAATTTTATATGTTTCTAGATCCTTGTCAGTATTTTCATCTATATCATCGATATTTACATTTTGATTTCCATTATTATTTTTGCTTTCTTCATCTGAATTCGTATCTTTGCACGATAAATCCATAGTCGGATTTACCATGACTGAACATCCATGTGTTACGCTTTCTTCGTTCATTAAATTCTCCAATATTAAACTTTCGTTCATCCTTTAGTATAGAGATAGAAAATAATCAAATTTTAAATTAGTCATCAATTCGATGTTTATTTAAGAAAAAGATAAGATGTACAAGGAAAAATCCTAATCCGGAAATTTAAAAAATTATATTAATCTTTAGGGATATATAGTACTTATGTATTACGCAATTTTTTTTTTTTTGCTATTTGAAATCAATCTTTGAAATTCAAATCTTTGAAAATTCAATTATTTCGACTTTACGTTATAACTCGCTAACTATAAAAAATACAAAAAAAATTTTTAGACAAAGTTCCTTTTCATAAGAATTATATATTAGTTAAAATATTTATTAATTATTTATACAATATAAAAAAGTTATAAATCACAAAATTAATAATTCTTTTTAAATTTGTTTTTTAATATAAAATTTTAAGCAACATAATTATTACCTAAATCATTATACACATAATTTTTTATACACATAATTATTTTTAATATAATTGAAAAAAATAAATTTCTTTATTTTTTTATATATCATACATTATCAAAAGAATAAAAAGTGTTATAATAATACAAATGTTACGATAATCTAGTATACAGTCGCTACTACGTATACTTACACTATATTTCCAATATTAGTTTTCTGAAACTTTCTTTCTTCGATTTTTATTGTTCTAAAGAAATAATTGTAGATTTCGATTCACATTTATTATTTATTATTTAGAACAAATTTTACTTCGACCATGGAATGTTTATATAACATATCCAATGAAGTTAATTAATAAGAACTGTTTAATGAATAATTAACAAATGTTTATTTACCGAATATATAAATATTTTATTATTGAAATCTTGGATTGGTCATTGTTCATCTATATTATAAAATAGCATACCATTTAATCAAGATGTAGAAATATTTACAATACTAAAACGACAGGAATGATATGTGTGTTTGATTTTCGTATATAGAAAAATTTTGTATGGAAATTTTCTGATCTCAGTCATTTCTTCCATTATCAAAATATTATGTACTTTACTAAATATTATGTAATTTACTAAATATTATGTAATTTACTTATACATAGTATAAGAGTACATCGATGAAAAATCAAATAATTTTAAAAATCCAATATAAATTCGCTTTTTCGTAACAAGATTTCGTATGGACCATTCTATATGTGACAATCATGCTACATATTATATGATGTACATGATGCAACAAGTTTTTATCTTTACAATATTCTTTTAAAGAATTTTATTATAAAAGTAGTTGAAAAGTAGTTCATAATATTATTTAATTATTTGTACATTTTTATCTTTATTCGTTATTCTTTCGTTATTGTTTATTGCATTTTATTACATAAAAAATAAAGAAATTTGATAACATTAAAAATAAAAATAAAAATATCTTATAAAGTAGTTATATGTATAAGTTTCTTTTTTCTCTCTCTTTATATTTTTATCTTTTATTTTCACATTGATCCAATGTTAATTAAAAAACAGAACTATAATATATATTTTATAAATATAAATTTTCCTACTTTTGAAAATGTAAATAGTTAGCATATATAGCATTATATAACATAATAGTATAACAAAGCTGTATTTGGAAACAATAAGTATTTTTGTATACTATCGCATAGTTTTTTGAAATTAAATTTATGTTGAAAAACAAATTTAAAAAGAATTATTAATTTTTTTAAAAATTGTATAAACAATTAATAAATGTTTTAACAGATGATAATTCTTATAAAAAGAAATAATTTTTGTTTGAAGATTTTTTTGTATTTTTTATATTTAGTGAGTTATGATGTAAAAATGTCAAATTTTTAAAGATTGATTTCATCCTCTTAAAATGATTTCGAGCAACAAAAAAAAAATTATACATAAGTAATACGTAAGTATTACATATTCTCAAAGTTTCATAATTTTTTGAATTTTCAGATTAGGGATTTTTCCTTGTAAATAGGTATAATATCTATTTAAGATATTTCTAATAACTGAATCGAATTATAAATTATAAAATTCAACCTTATTCGTTTTATTAAATACCACTCTGATTTTTTTTATTAATCAATTTCTCGTATTATTCTGAATAAATATTAATAGTTAACACATATATAGCATTATATATAGTAATATAACAAAGTATTGTATTTGGAAATAACAAGTATTTTTGTATACTATTGCATAGTTTTTTGAAATTAAATTTA